GCCATGTTAATGCCTACAGAGGAGGAGATCCATGAGCATATCAAGAGCACAACTCATGATAGCAGCAAATGGGACCAGCAGGTAGCCCTATCCCTCAATCATGAAAGAGGAGTGATGAAGGAAGGAGGGCTAATCCAGTATGATGGACAGATCTACATCCCTCAAAATCAAGAACTGTATAGTGAAATCATCACCACACACCATGACCATGCCACTGCCAGCCATCCCAGCATCACCAAAACAAAGAAGCTAGTGCTATGGAAATACTGGTGGCCTAAAATGGGGAATAACATCACTACATACATCAAACCATGTGAAGTATGTCAATGAGACAAATCCTTGACACAGGCTCAAGCTGCACTGCTCCATCCAAATGAGGTTCCATCATCACTATGGACTCACATTTCTATTGATATGATCACAGGACTATCTGACTGCAATGGCTATGATGCAATCATTATCATTGTTGATTGATTCTCTAAGGCGATTATCCCAATCACCTGTTCTACTGAGCTTTCCTCCAAAGGATGGGCAAAAATTCTATGCAATAAAGTCTATGCCAAATACAGCATGCTCCAGATGGTAATCTCTGATAGGGGACTCTAATTTATATTGAAATTCCTAGATGACCTTTATCACCTCCTGAACATCAAATAAAATGCATCAACCATGTATCATCCTCAAATAGACAGTCAGATAGAACAAGCAAATTAAGAAGTAGAAAAGTATCTCTGTCTTTTTATCAATTATCGACAGGATGACTGGGTAAAATGGCTAGCTCTAGCTGCCTTTCAGCATAATAATCATGTCCACTCAGCAACAGGAAAAACCCTGTTCTTCATTAATTATGGATGACACTTAAATGTCACACAAATGGAATGACATTGAACTACTACCCCCACATCCACAGACTTTGCTGCAACAATGGCAAAGATCCATACTGAAACTAAAACAGCCCTAGAAAAGGCTGCTTCTACCATGAAAACCCAATATGATAAACATTGATGACCAGCCCATACTTACTCTATGAACAACAAAGTATGGCTGGACACTATCAACCTTCACTTACCATGTCCTAAATGCAAACTAGCAGACAAATGGACTGGTTCCTTTCCAATACTCATAAAAATCAGTGCAAGTGCATATAAACTCCGATTGCCACCCTCCTGAAAAATTCATGACATCTTCAATGAAGCATTGTTGACACCCTATATTGTGCCAGCATTTCCAAACCAGGAATGACCTCCACCTCCTCCTCCAGACCTAATTGACGATGATGAACACTATGAAATCAACAAAGTCATACATTATAAACTACAAAAAATCAGGGCAAAAGGAGGTGGTATGACAACCACAATCAATTATTTGGTCAGCTGGAAAGAGTATGGCCCAGAATCAAATCAATGGGTCAATGAGAAACATATGAACACAGAGTCTGTCATATGAGACTATGAATTATCTCTTAATTAAGCCATCAGGATGATAGTCTTAAGGAGGGGGTAATTGTTACAATTTTCCTTTCTTTTTCTTGGATCAACCCCTATTTATGCTTAGTCAAAGTGCTTAAGATGGTGGGATAAAGCTTAGTCATCACAACTAGCCAAGTCCATCATTGTCTTTTGATACAACAGTGTTGCTTGACAATGCACAACCAGCCTTTTATGTATAGTAATGATGCTCCAGGACAATAAGCATGGAGAAACATACAATAAGTAGGTAGTATTATTAGCAGACCTTGTCTAGTATTTAAGGAGCTCACTCTTGCTGGTAATCCTCAGCTTCAAGCTAAAGTTTATACATCCTCATTCTACTCTTGAGCAAATCACACAAAGCTTTGAAGCACAAGGAGTCAACAAACAGCACACCAAGTGAACTCTAACAGAAGGCTCAAACATGAAGCCACATTAGTTTATCACATGCTAGTTGATCACATGTGGCTTGAGCCTAACAAGCTACTAATACTGGAGATTGAAAGTCAATGCTTACTAGCTTTTGACCTTCAACTCCAGACCTGGCTTTCTCTACTATGCTATACAATCTGCTCTCAACATCAACTCTGTTTTTAACAGGATAATTCCAATAACAGGCATGCAAATTCTCCAAATATAATGCTGATAAAGAACACCACTCATTAGGCTGAAAATATCATCTTTATTCACGATACAAAGGTATGGGAGAACAACAGAGTTTGAGTGTTACCAATAAGCAAGGATGTGACCATCAAAAAGAACATAATATAACTGGGCAGACATCAGATCTGTTGAAGCCTCTATGTATTCATAGCTAGTGTCACTATCAGAGGATGATTCATCATCATAGGAAGTTTCAGAGTCATATTCTTCCTGTGATAGTTTGTTTGAGCATTTCACTCTCATGATAGACAGATGCCTTGAAGCATCATCCTCTATGACTGGCCTTGGCCATTGAATATCTTCAATGATATGGGATATCAGCAATGAAGCATGTCTATCCACCATCCTATTCAAGAAATGTGGTAATTGTGGTCGAATGAATGTAGCATCTTGCCTGCAAAAGTATTTCATTAGGAAATAGATCAATTGATTCCATTCAAATGCACACACATTATATATGATTTATCATAGCACATAAATGAGAGTGAACATATAAGAAGAGACCAAAATGGTATTGTTGACTGTCTAGAATCATTCTTTGAACTGCTGGTGAGAGCTTTAAGCATGGCAACAGTTGAACACACCAAATCTAAAATATCTGGAACTTCTGAGAGAGACTCAGTGAGCTGTTCTGGTGAAGATACCAGAATATTTCTGAGCTCCTTTAGCAAAGAAGATGCCTGAGAAGAGATAGCTGGATATAGGCCATTGAAAAGTTGTGAGAGAATTGGAGAGTCAAGTAAGCATATCAGGTTTTGTATCTCAGTGGGCCATTCTATTGCATATGAGATTATAGACTTAAATGCAGATATTTCTGTGATTTCTGTATGCATATCATGCTGTAGAGCTGCCAAGAGAAAGACAGTGGTCATAAGTAGGAATGGACTAAGTTCAAGCTATAGATTGCATTTTGGGCTGCTGACCATACATTATGCATGTGACCTAAAAATATGACTTTACTGTCAGCATGTTTGATCTGGCCTCTGCTGCTTGCTCAAAGATTAAGATGCAGCTAGATACAATAAGGGTCTGAAAACTGCTCTCAATCTGATTGCAGCATGTGAACAGCTATAATGGCTTTTGATGGTGAGTGATGAGAGCAGTGGTAGTTCAATGAGTATGAGTGGGTTGCAAGAAGTTAGAGCCTATGGTGATAGATGCATAAGTATGCCAGTTGTAGTTGCACTCATAAGGCAGGGTGTTCTCACACATAAGTGGTCCAAGCTTTTGAAGACCAATGTCCAAGAGTCTGAATGATAGATTCTGAGAGTTCAAGAGATGTTTAGAATGTTGCTTCTTTAGCTCTAGCTGAGTGACTGCTGAAGTCTCTACTTAATATTGTAAAGAATCTTTTGTCAAACCAATTTCAGAATGGAATGTCACTATTTTCTCAGAGAAAGAGTAGAGCTCATAGACTGTAGAGGCAATTATGATGTGTAATATATTGTGATAGGAGTTGGACAGGATCTGCCAGCTCCTGTCATGTGAATAAGATGTTGGTGCCATAGTAGAAAGAATCAGATTTTATGATATGGAAGGTGATACTGAGTATTATTTTTTGAAAGGATGAATGAGAAGCATTTAACTATTTTACAGAAGTCTTAAAGTTGTTTTTTATTTTTTTATATGAGCTTGCCTGACTGATGGCACCCATAGAAACAGCAGGAAAGAATAGTGGCAAAGAGGAGGTGATTAAATAGTGTAATTGAAGAGGTAATTTCTGAGAGGTGGGATCACCTCTTGTCTTTTTTGATTCATGAATGGTTGCTTGCACCATGAAGTATCTCTTATTTTCATTGAAGTCTAAAGATCTTTTAAGATGTGACAGACTTCCATTAGATATTTTGGACCAGATGCAATGAACTGGAATGTATATGCAATATACCTACTGAGCATAAATACTGCAGGTTTGAATGGTAGAGAGTGGATGATGTAAAATCAAATATAATTGTGTGCTCCTGTGGCATATCCTTTTGCTGCTCTGAGCTCAATTGTGTGAGCTTGAAGATGCATTCATTAAGGAGAGAGAGAAAGAAAACTGGGCAAGCAATGCAAGGAGCATGCTTACCCAGCATAGCTAAAAGACTTATCTCCATTGTGCTGACAATAGGTCTCTTGGAGGAGTAAAGGTGCAGATGCAGTCAGCAGAGAATTTGTGATGATATTCATCAAGAAGAAGTTAAGATAACATGTCAGCCCTAATATTGTCCTTTTCATTGATATGTTAGACTCAAACATTGATTTATGATGTGAGTATAAGATCTACTGTTGCAAGCAAGAGTCCATTATATAAAGGTTCAGATACAGACTGTCATGATTTTAGCCTCTAAATCATGCTCAGCTGCCTTGGCTTGGTTTGAGATTGCCAAGACTTTTCTATACAGTATTTAAGTCAGTAGTATACAGTGATATGCTTCAGTCTTGAGCTAAAGTCAATATACTAATCAAACTTCTAAACTCTTGGTGTGACTACCACTTCAGTATCAACACTGGCAGTTATAGTCTATCAACCTCTATACCTCTCTCCTCTTATCATCATTCTAAATATCACTACTCTCATCTTTGTGCTTCACCTTCAGTCAGTGTCAAACTCTGGCTGTTACAGTGCATTGCATTTGTGATTGTTTGGTTATCACCTGACACAGACAGAAAATCAAATGCAGCAACAGAGTCAAGACTATTAATAAAGAGTAGGAGGTGTTGAAGGGATTTGAATAAACAAACTGTGTGATAGATAACTGAAAGAATAACAACAAGTTTGAGAAAGAAGGCATCAATTATTCTTTTGAAAGAGAGTGGTTGAAGCTGGTAGATAAATTCATTTCCAGCAAAGACAAATGATAATGCATTTTTTAAACTAGTGTTAGTCTAGATTATAATATCAGCATCTGAATCAGTCCATATAGTTGAGTTGATAAAGTGAATGCCAACTGAATTTGAAAGGATAGATGAAAACCATGACAAGTCTTCTTTGACAGCAGTGTTGATAAAGATCTTTGTAAAAGGATGAGTCTTTTCAGCTATTTTTTTACATAGTGAAGAAAGAGTAGAATGGTCTCATAGTAGAACATTCAAAATCCAATTCAAGTATCCATCTAGATATTGCTATTTCTGTAGGATTGGTGCTCTAGTGGGTGTTGAAAGAAAGGATTCAAGTTCAGCTTTTGCATCAGTGATAGATTGCTGCATGAGAGAGATGCTCTCTTGATTAGCATCAATCTAGAATCCAATAATTTTGAGAGATTGGCCATGCATCTGTTTTAGGTCATCAAAAGAACAGAAAATGAAATTTCAAAATATCAGAAGCTATACTTGTTATGCTGGCTGCAGAAGACCTTAATAATTGGCAAAATCCCAACTGAAAAAATCATCCACATAGACATAGAGATCAGTGATGTCTAAATAGTGGATTATGATCCAGCACAACAAAGTTGAAAGCAAACACTAAATTTGAGAGGAGGCTCAGCTTCTGAAATCAGCTGCTTAATAGTATAATATCTGTTGTCAACAATTATCACTTTTATAGAGAATAAAATCAGCATTAGAATATTGCTTTCTGGCATTATACAGGGCTTTATCAAATGGATGCATATTGTTATATTTGACTTTCACATCACTAGCTGTGTTAGGCCTCTATTAAACACTCATAAGTGTCTAGCATCACTTCTGCCAGGGTCTGATTTTGGTATAAAAGGATGATGAGAATGATGAGGTAGGCTATAAGAATTTTGCAAAAAGAGATAAAGGGTTGTAGCTGGTAGATATAGTTTGTCATTGTGGCAAGAGTATTTGCATCAGGTAGTCAGAGGGTATAGTAGATGTATTAAACCTTAGCTCAAGACTGAGGTACATCAGTGTATACCACTGCCTTAAATACTGTTTAAAGAACCCTATGTCCTACAGGCAACTATTGTCTGCTTTTCATGTTCTCTGCTCATTGTCTGAGATAACAATGACTGTGCTCTTGCTTTTATTTATTATTATTGCTCTGCTATACTATTGCTGTTGTGAGTTTTTCATATGCCACAGTTTCTATTGTATTCAAAACATAGGATGGTAACAGTTACCATATTGTTTCTTGTCATCTTATTGTGCATTGATGAATAAGATGTAGCCATGGTATTATCATGTCTTCATCATCTTTTGTAAGGTTGGCCTGGGGTCAGGATTGATAAGCATTAGCAGCTCATGATTTAGGGGCAAAAATCATGACATTATCCTCTTCTCAAGGTAATCATCCTTGATTGCTCAGAGCAGTCTAGAGAAAAGGGATTGTGCTTTATTCTTTCCATCAATTTCAGTGGAAACAGCATTGGTGCAGTCAAGGAAATGAGGTTGGTCAACAAAGGTTCTGGCAGCTAGGTCATCTTTCTCTCTATATAAATAGCTTTTTGTATTCAAAGGGATGTTGGTCTTTTCTGAAGGGCAATCTTTGCATATGGATATAGTCTGACTTGTCAAACATTGGTTGACCCAATGAGGCAAAGTTGACAGCTGCTAGAGAATTTTGATGTGCCTGATATTCATGTGAAAGATCTTTTTTCATATACCATCAGTTTTTCTTGTTGCTATATCCCTTGAAGTGGACTAAAAACCACTGTTTTCTGTATCAAATCTTATTATCAAGAATGGCATTGATCTCATACTCATCTTCATCATCAATCACCATAGGTTTAGATAGTGGTGGTTTCTGCTGATTAGAGAATTCAGCTTGTTGAAATAGTTTGAGTGGAGCTTTATTGAAGACTGGATGGATTTTCCAAGTCTTTGGAATAGATAATTTATATGCTCTATTGTCTACTTTCTTTGTGATCTTAAAGAGGCCTTCATATTTGTCATCTAACTTTTTCATGATCCTGTCTATTTTCAGATTTTTCATATCTAGTATGATCTGATCTCCTGGTCAATATTCTTTTTCTGGCATCTATTTCTTGTCATACTGTTTCTTTATTGAGTCTGCTGCTTTTAGGAGTGCTTGTTCTGTCTTTTCATAGATCTTCTTCATTTCAGCAGTGAAATCTTTTGCTTAGAGTACTTGACTGTCCTTTCATGAGAGGTTCATTCCAGTGTTAGATGTACATCAGTGTTTATGAGGAATAGGCTAAAGCCTGTGACATAGTTTTCTCAGTTGTTGTAAGTGAATCCTGCTAAGAGAAGCTACTCTGCCCAGTCATTCTGCCTGTGATTGATGAATATTCATAGATCTTTTTTAATTTCTTGATTGACTCTCTCTGTTTGTCTATCCATTTGGGGATGGTACACTGTCAATAGATTTCTGGTAATTCTGAGTAGCTTGTATGGCTCTTTTATAAACTGTGAGATGAATTGTGGGCTTTGATCTAAGATGATTTTGTCTGGAAGCCATAGTGAGCATACATATGGTCTTGAAAAAGTTGTGTCCACTCTTCTGCATTCAAATTTATGTTGGTAGCAATAGAAATAAGTTCTTTCAAAAATTGATCCATAACAACTAGGATGGCATCATGTCCTTTTGACTCAGGAAGAGAGCCTATCATGTCTACCAAAATCACCTTCTATTTATCTGAAGGGATCTCATTAGAGTGTAATAATGCTGCCTACTTCTGAGTACTGGCTTTAGTTCTTTGGTATGTTTTGCACCCTTTGACATAAGCTTCTACTGATTTTCAAAGGTTAGGCCACCAATAGTTCTAAGTGATCAGCTCCTGTGTTTTTGCAATCTCTGAGTGTTCTGCCATTGGATGGTCATGGAAAGTGGCTATAATTTCCTCTCATAGCTTCTTGCTTACTGAGATATATAATCAGTTATAAAAATAGAGTACTCTCTCTTCAAGGGTTCACTCTACCTCTTTATTGTTAAGGGCCAATTATACTAAATCCTTCATGAATTTCTTTTCTCTTCATACCTTTTTCAAAATTTCAGAGGCTGTCAGAAAGATCATAGCATTTATATAGAATATTTCTGGCTTGAGCACTACTATTTTTTTATTATCCTTTCCCTCTTGGTCATGGTCTGCCCTTTTGCTGAGTAGGTCTGCCTTTTTGTTGGTAGCATCTGGTTTATGATAGAGACTAAAGTGGTACTCAGCTAGTTCTGTTACTTATTGTGCTTATTATTGATTCAGTTTTTGTGGTTTTTTGAAATATTAGAGGTTTTGGTGATTGGTCTATATTTCAAAATCATACTTGGCTCCCATCAGATAATAATGCCATTCATCCAAGGCTGTCATTATTGCAAACAGCTCCTTGTCATAGATTTCATAATTTCATTCTGTGATAGAGAGTGCTTTTGATAGGTATGCAATCAGCTTTTACTGTCTCTTCTGTTCTTCACTAAGGATGGCTCCTAGGGCTTCTTCTGATGCATCTGCTTCCATCTTGAACTTTCCATCATCTATGAGAATGGCTAGAATAGAATCTGAACAGATTTGATGTTTGATTTCTTAAAACATCTGTTCCTGAGCTTCTTTCCACTTTCACTCTGCCTTTCCAGTAAGTTTCATTAGTGGTAAGGCCACTTGGCTATACCCTTCTATGAATTGTTGATAGAAGTTAGCAAATCCTAGGAAGGATTACAGTTCTTTCTTTTTAGCTGGTGTGGGCCATTCTTGTTATGATTTCTGACTTCTTTCCTTTATTTTGACCTCTATCTATGCTTAGTCAGAGCACTAGAACAAGTGCTTAGGACTGTGGAACCAGGCTTAGTCATCACAATCAGCCAAGTCTGTCATTGTCTTTTGCTGCAACAGTGTTGCTTGATGATACACAACCAGCCTTTTATGAATGGTAATAATGCTCCAGGACAATGAGCACAGAAACAGAGCAATATACAATAAGTAGGTAGTATTATTAGCAAACCCTGTATAGTATTTAAGGAGCTTGCTCTTGCTGATAAAATCCCCAGCTTTGAGCTAAAGTTTATTCCATCTTATTCTACTCTCAAGCTAGTCATACAAAGCCTTGAAGCACAGGGAGTCAACAACAGTACATAAAGTGAACTCTGCTGGAAGGCTCGAATATAAAGCCATGACAGTTTATCATATGCTAGTTGATTATGTGCAGCTTGAGCCTAACAATTAGCTCAAAGCTATCATCTTCTCTTTCTCAAGCTCAATTGTGCTGAGAAACTGAATGCCTTCAATTGACCTCTCAAACCCAAACTTTGATCATGAGTTCTTTGAACTCCTCACTTTCATCATCAGAACACTGTTGGGATTATTGGTGATCATCCAGCTGTGCTGGGGATGCCATTCAATCACCACCTGGGCTCTCAGACATTACAATGAGTTTTTGCATATTCAACACATCCTATGAAACATAACCTCTGACCTCCCAATTCATGACATCCCTGAATCCTGATGAACATCCCATCAGTCTCTGACAAGCCCCTTACCAGAAGCTGAGCCTAGCAGCTTGCATCAAGAGGATATTCAAGAAGAAGAAGGACACTGATACTCTCCCTGATGACTTAGCAGAGACTGCAACTCTGGCCTTGCAGGATTCCAGAATCTATGGGTCCTTGGACCTCCATCAGACCATGAGAATGAGGAGATCCTAGGAGACTTCTTTCAGCAGTCTTCCTCTTCTGACTTTGCTCTCACCTCTCCAACCAGAGGGATTGGTAACTGTGCCAGAGACTCTCTCAGTCTCACTTGGATGGCTGAAAGATCTCAATATGCGACTCCTAGAAGCCAGTCTCACAGCTCCATCACAACTCTCTCCCACTCAGTTGGAACAAGCAGTGGGATAGGGAGGATGTCCTTGGCTTAACTCCATGATGAGCAGTATAGAAGGGAGGTTTGAGATGAAGTCATTCACTGATACTTCTCTACCTGGGATATGAACATCCCATTCAACTATGATGAAGCTGTCTGACAAGAAGAGCAGAGACAGCAAACCACACTGCAGCTAGTTCACAGTGAGCTTGAGGAGTGTCTCATTGAGAGTGGATGAAGAAGACAAGAAGCTGAAGAGTATAATAGACAGCATCAAAGAGAGCAGTGAGAAACTGAGAGGGCCTGACTGGAAAGGGCCAACATCTCGAACTGATATGGGCTTTGACCTGA